AATTATATATGTAACTCTCATTAACACAAAAAGAAATATAAGACCATTTTGAGATTTGGAAGATTTAACAACATTCCCTACCTGTGTTCCCTCCTGCCTAGATAATTCAGCTGCTTCAGCAAACTCAAAAGCTCAGGGTTTTAGTTTTTGTATTTAGCATGTATAATAAAATTTCACTTCGATCTGGTTTCTATTATCAGAAAAAGAAATTCAATTGCAAACACTGAGTTCTTCTAAAACAGGGTTTCTGAGCCCAGTGACTTCATTAAAATGATTTTCAACCATAGTTTACAAAAGAATTTCAGATCACTCTTGACCTGAAAGCATCCACCCCTGAGGAAATGCTCAATAATTTAAAAAAAAATAAATAAAAAAGAAGAAATGGCAATAAATTAGAATGCCAGATTTGGGTCCCTACTTCCCTGGCTTAAATAAATGCCCCACCACTTAACCCAAGAACTAGCAAATCCATCGTTCCTATGTGTAAGTTTGACATTTCCATTTTCACAGAGGAAGTTTAAGAGTTATCCTTACACAAGATAACACAACATGAAACTGGGTGTGTCACAATAACCATGGAAGCCAGCCTGAACTGGAAGCCAAGATTTGAAGTTATCCACACCGACTTCTACACGCCCTTGAAGAACCAGTCTTCTACAAGTGATCACCACACTTGTCCTTTAGTTACGTTAAACAGCAAGCAAAAGTCATGCTACTCATTGATCTTAATTTTCGTTTGACATGAGATCTTCAAGCGCATGCTTAGCTATTTAACACTTCCCTCCTATCACATGTCATTCTGTCACCTTCAGGTATGTGATCCCTTGTCACATATGGGATGACACACCAGCAGTGCCCACAGTCCAGTCGACAACCCTACTGCTGACAGTAATATCTACCTCACAGGTGGTCACAGGCCTGGGCATCCGTTAATCATGGGTTCACTGAAGCACCACAGGCACATGCAGTTGAAAAAACCCTGACAATCTTCCGAAAGCTTCTGGAACAAGCTTCGGATTTCATAAACCAGACTCTTAACAAAAATACAGGGTTGTCTGCCAGGTACATGCACATTTTGACAGAACTACAAGCCACAGAAAATGCCCAACTTGAATATCCTTTCAGTTTGCTGTTAAAAAAATTAAGTTTAAAAAGGTATTACAGCATTTCTACTGCCTCTTCCTGCAGTCAATTTTCTGCATGGCTGAGTCATAACTAACATTACATCATCTTGCCCAGGGAGGGGCACAATTTCCGTAGAGTAAGAACTAACTCTTACAACTAGAGCAGCATACTAGAGTTGCAGAAGTCAGTGATTTAAGATACAAATACTGCATTGAGGGGGAAGGGCAGACGAGAAAACCCCAAACTACACCTGTATGTAGTTCAGTCTCAAAGAAATATGTTGATTTCTTGTAACTATTACTTTATATAGCATTTCAACATTTCTCCAAATGCTGTAGCATTCAATACTATGATGATTTGTATATAAATAATCAATACATTACAGAGAGAGAAAAGTCAGACATTCTTTAAATACTGTCCTTCAGAAATAGCATAGGAGAGCACAGCTTTACTGACAGACTAGAAGCAGTCCCAGAGGGCCCAGCACCATTTACCCTGCAACCCTAAGTAAAGACGGATCAACAGTTTCATTATTTCTCACCAGCACATCATTGCAGATGTCTCTTAGCTCAGTCTCAATTTTCTCTCTGTATTCTCGAGCCATCTGCTGTTTTTTCTCAGCGCCTTCCGTCTTTTGTTCAATACTTGAGACGACTCTCCAAGATGACCTACGAGCTCCTACAACATTTTTATAGGCAACAGAGAGAAGATTCCTCTCTTCGTTGGACAACTCAGCTCCTTGCTCAGTCACAGACTTCATGCAACTTGCCATGTCATCGTATCTTTCAGCCTGCTCAGCCAGCTTGGCCTTCTGCACCAGCTCATTTTTATCCATGCTGATATTTCTAAAGAGGAAAAATAGTGAGGCATTATTCAGACAACGATCAAGGACAAAGGTGTTTGCATAGCAGAGCAACCATTCTTTAAGTAGTTTGGAACTGCAAGACGTACAATTGAAATCCAGGGCACAACGTGTAAAAGCATTACAAGATGTCAAAGCACCTGATGCTCAAACATGCAGATTTGTGAAGAGTTAAAGTTACCGTTTCCTTCTGAAAAACTGTTAACTTTTGAAAGTACATTATGTTAAGAAATAAAAACAAAAGCATCCAGAGGTGAACTGAAAACAAATCATTCCTGTCTTATGCACATAAATGATCCTAGTTCTTTGCCATCACTCTCATCACATCATATTCAAGCTGCAGCACCAACTGCATCCAATTATTAATATAACAAAATTGAGAAAGAAAACATTCACTCCTAAGTTTTTCACAGAAGAAGACCACATAAAGGCTAGGCACACAACACCAGCCAACTCTGTGCCTTATCAGAATCTTACAGTTACATGCAGAAGGACTTGGCATAGGGATCTGCAAATCAAATCCCACACTGGCTGTTAAAAAGCCAGAATGCACTAAGTATCTGAATTTGAAGGTGCAGACCCTTCAAAAGAGTTAACCTCCTCTCCCAAAATGGGATACGGTAGACCTCCTGAGCCAAGTACTGCTGCTCCACCTGAGAGGCTATGCTTTCAGAGACAAAAGGAGATTTTACTATTCAAAAATACTACTTCATCAGTATTTGAGGTAGTGTGACCTGGCTGAGATGCTTCAGAACCTGCATCTTACCAGCACTTAAAAAAAAAAAAATAAATAAAAAAAATCAAGGTCTGCTGAAAGTAAGTACCAGTTAATGTTTTTTTTTGGTACATCAGCAAAGATTACTCCTCCCTCATACCCCATCCTTTTATGTACCTTGATCATTTCGAGGCCCCGGCAATGCACTCTGGGATACACCATCTCCATTTAAGTTCGATTATATTATTAAAGCAAGAATTATTTTGGTCATGTATGCTTTATGGATTTCTGTATGTTCCATACACAACAATCCAGCAGCTTAATTTTTAACCATTAACATTTTTGCCATTCTGCATGAAGTTACCACAAACAATAGCAGCTCTACCTTCCATTTCGGTATAAATTAACCCTATGTTTAACATTCCAGTCCCTGAAAGGGAAAGATTGCGTATCTGCTACCCCCACCATCGGGGCAGAAACTCAGCAGCGTTTGCAAACATGCGTTGAAAACTTGACCGCACCATGAACAGCGCGGTTAAGGAGCCATTTTAAATCAGGTTTTTGGCTACGGTTATTTACCACCGGGAGTGAGCAGGACGAGCGTCGTTAAAACTCCAGCCCCACAGCCCGTGCGCCGAGTTCTACGGCAGCATCCTCTCTGCGAGGCCGAGGGCGCCCGCGGCGGGGCTGGGCGCTGCTGCGCTTCCCCCACACGCGGGGTGACAGCAGAAAATGGAGCGGCCCGAGGGAGGAGCAGGCGGCACGGCGCAGCACCTCAGGATTCCCCGAGGCGCGGTGGCCCGCTTCGGGCCGCCCCTCACGCCTCCCCTTCCCGCTCTGCGGCCGCCGCATCCGCCCTCCACGGAGACACGGAGCGCCTCGCCGGCCGCCTTTGTCATGGCGGATCGGCGCCGGAGCCCTGCCCACTTCAGCGCGCGTTAATCCCGCTCACCTCCGCCCAACGCCGGGGGCGGCGGCGGACGAGGATGCCGCGTCCCCGCCCCGGCAGCGGCCTGACGAGGGGCAGCCCACGGGCCCAGCCCCAGGGAGATGCGAAGAAGGGGGGTGAGAGGGGGCGGCGGAGGAGGAGCCCCCTGTAGTCCCGAGGGAGCCGCTGCTGCCGCCGGAGAGCTCGGGCGGGGCGGGCAGGATGGGTGGGGGCGAGGGGCAGGGCGGGCGGAAGCAGCAAGACCGACCGAGGGGCGGCCGCTGCGGCTGCTCCGCGCCCGGGCAGCGCTCCCGGCGGCAGACCACACCCAGCGCCCCCGCCCGCCGGAGGCGGCGGCGCCCCCACCCCCCGCTCCACGCGCCCACGGGAGCGGGGTCGCCCGGTCGCCCCCGCCGCACGGGCGGAGCCCTCACCTGCCGCCCCCTCCCCCGCCCGCCGCCCCCGGCCGCTCTTCCCCGCTCCTCACCAGCGGGGAGGGGCAGACGCGGCCTCACCTGCGCGGCCCTCACCGCCCTCCCCGGCGGCCCCCCTGGGGCAGGCTGCTCCCGCCGCCCCGCTCTCTGCCACCGAGGCAGGAGCGGGTGGGGGCGGGCAAGGAGCTGCTTGGCGCTGCCCGCCGGCCGCCTCGCCTCGGCCCCCGCCTCCCCCCCCCCCAGCTCCCCGGGGGCGGAGGGCAGGGTGCCGGGGCGGCCGCCCGGCGCGGGGCCGGAGGAGGGGCGGCGCGGCGGGCCCCGTTACCTGTGCGCGGCGGGAGCGCGGCGGCGGGTATCTCAGGGCGGGCGGGCGGGCGGCGCGGACTGTGCCTGTGTCGCGGCTCGCTGCGCTGCAGCCTCTCTCCCAGCGCCACACACGGCGTCTCCGCCAATCACCGCGCCGCAGCGCACGGGCAGCGCACCGCCCGTGACGTCAAGCCGGGGCCATGGCAACGGCGAGGGCGCAAGCACGAGCCCGCACCTCCCCCGGCGCGCGCAGGGCGGGTGGAGGCAGTCGCCAACCGCCGCGGGCGGCGCGCGGGCCGCGGGACACGCCTCACACCGGCGGCCCCGCCCGCGGGCGCGCGCTTCTCCCCCGCCCCTCCCTCTCTGCCTGCCCCCGCCTGCGGCGCCGAGCGGCGGGGCCCGTGCGCTGCGGGGCCGCGGAGGGCAGAGGCGAGGCGAGGCGGCCGCCCCTGCACACTGGCCTCTGACCCTGCAGCTGAGCCCCCTTCACCCGCCTCTGCCCCGCCGCTGGTGGGCTGAGGTGAGCGGCGGTGGCGGAGGGTCTCGGGCATCGGTGCCGAGTGGGTGAGGGGGCGTGTGGCGGCACCACGCGGTGCGTCCTGTGCTTTGTACGGTGTCACACATCCCTCACCGTTTACCGCACCCGCTGAGGGTCTGCTCCTGCCGCTGGGCCTTCCGCAGGGGCCGAGTTCTCCCGGTCAGACCCCTTTCCCCAGAGCCTGTCCAGCGCCGCTCCCGCTGTGCCGGGTCGGTGGGTGAGACACGAGGGGACTGGGTCCCGGTGCTCCCAGGTCCGTGTGAGGCCCGTCCCTGCCGAGCGCGGCACCGCGCTGCTGCCAGGAGCCCCATCCTGGGCCGGGAGTGGGAAGGAGGTGTGGGCTTGGCAGGACAGACCCGTAAAGGGCACATGGAATCGCGGCAGGAGCCCGGCAGCTGCGGCGGAGCCCAGTAGGGTGGACATGCTGCTGGGCCACGCAGATGACAAACATCCAGCCCTTTTGCAAGCCTGAGCCTTGGAAAGGCAGATGGGCATTGCGGTGAGCACCACGCAAACCTTGATGAGAACGTGCTGACAGGAGTGAAAAGAGTGTAAAAGTAATAAACATTGCTGCTGTTGGAAACACTTTCGGTTTTGAGAAGAGTGTTTCCCAAAGGTGATCAAAGCCTGCATTCCTTTGTCCCCTTTTTGAGCAGCATGCTCCAGCTTGAATCCCTGCCTCAAGTGTGTGGACCTCTTTCATGCTTTTTCCTGGTCTCTGGGATCAGCACTATCTCACAGAATTAGAAATAAGATGAGAAGGCACCTTGGTATGTTTTTTGGAAAGGGTCAAGTAGGACAGGGGTGGTGGTAGGGAGGTTTTCTCTTCCACAGATCAGGAGCATCTCCTGGGGGAGAAGGACATACCCTCTCCCAGGAGCTTGCTGCCTATGGCAGACTCCACTGAGCGCTCCACCCTGTTCCTTTCCACTACAAGGTCTCATATGAAGCCTCAGGCCCTTCTCACAGTGTCAGTTACGGTGTCCCAGCTGCACAGCCTAATTGGAAATCAAGTGGCAGCAGCTTTCCGAGTGGCTCCTGCTTGGGTCACACATACTCGCTTTACTGATCATTTGGAACAGCTCATGCAGACGTAGCCACCAGCACAGGACGGACACATATTTATGTCGGCAGTCATAAAAATCTGTTGGTAAAGCAGTATGTGAGAATAGCATAGGAAGAGCGAGGTGCTTGCTTCTCAGAAATCAAGAGGAAGTTACGAATGTCTTTGTGTTCTTGTTGAGTGACTGGCCAGGACCAGGTTGATACGGTACCAGAGAAAAGAGCATCAAGTTCTTCTGCAGGTGCTCTGCCTTCTGCCTTGTGCCTCCTGGTCTTGCCTGCATGCCTCTCTCTGTCTTCTTGAGGCACTTCTGGGATAGCTTCCCAGCATGTTCCTTGTCTTCCTTCTGCTCTGCAGTGATGAAGTGACTGGAGACCTTGAGAGTGTGATAAAGTGACCAGAACAGGGGGGTTATTTCTGCATCTTCAAAACTATGATCCTGTGTTTTGACTCACTGTCAGAAAGGTGCTAATTTAAGCTCCATATGAGAAAGTTGATTTTTTAAGGGTAGGGTTTTTATTAATTTACCTTTAAAATTATATCATATAAAGAACAGTTAGGCTTTCAGTGTTTTACCTTTAGGGTTTGTTTATGGATCTTCTACTACACTTCCTCATGGCCTAAGATGTATGTTGGGGTTTGTACATTTTTCTCCGTGTAAGTTTTCTCCAGCAATTCCTCTTATCTTAGGCATTGATTTAACAGTGGGGTATTTTTTCTTTTTGATTTCTCAGCAGTTCTAGTGCCTTCCATTTACTCCAAGATCTAATAAATTTCACTCACGTTCCCATGGAATATTGCTGGAACACTTGTGGAGAGAGCTAAAATAAAGCAAAGCCAGCAGTATCTGGTAGAACAAAGCTCACCAGAATTTGCTAGCTGTGTCAGGTGAAAACGTTGCTTAATTTAAATATGAAGAAGCGTATAACCTTCCTTTTTACTTCCACAATGATGCTTTGTTGGGGTATACAGATACAGAGAAGTCAATTTTTGAAACAAGCGTTGTAAGGCTCAGGTTCATAACATATTCCAATGCACAATGCTTCTTCATCTTATCTGATTTTATTTTTTACCATTATTTTCCACTTTAGGAAGCAATAGGAGGAGAGCTTGAGAGCTGTACTTGAACACAGATGGTATGATGGCACAGCATTTGCTGCAACTTGCTTCAAGTTATGTTACAGAGTTCATTTTTAACACAAGCTTTAAACCTTTATTTTGTAGAAGAGTCTCATTGAAATGGCAACCACCCAAATGTAGACTATATGTTTTCAGAGGTGCTTGAATATTTTGCGGTAGCATGATGCAAAATTAACTGATTTATAATCCTTAAAAGTGCACATGGAATCCAGGCCAGATGATACGTTAGATGAAGCGCATGTATTGCTTTTTGATATCTCCAGGAAAATATAGGGGAAGCCCTTGTGAAGTAGGCTGAAATGTTGTAGGCAGTGTTAATAGTTTCATGGAAAGGAAACATCAGCCTTTCCAGTCAGTCCTTTCCATTATTTCTGGTTTTGGAGTGAATGGAATGTCGCCTGCCACAACCCTAATTGCCACTACCCATACTTTTTGTTTGCTAACAGTCCCATATGTCAATAGGCACTGCACTCCTTCCCCTTTAAGTGGGCTATTTTTGCCAAACACCATTTCCACTTCTCTGGATTTCATGAACGCTGCCATTTGAAACAGATCCGAGGAATTAGACATTACTCACCTTTGCATATGCTGTCTCTTGAACAGATATTCTCCTGCTGTCTTCTATTCTTATATTTCCTGCACTTTTTCCCCAGTGTGGAATGTTTTATTTTGTCTTGCCTGTTGCTGTTTTGACCAGGGAACATGTTTTTATTTTAAAAGATAGGCTTTAAGCAGTTTCCCTTTCCTTCAGACCCATTTTCTCTGCTGCTCTCCACACAGCTTTTTGTTCGGTGACTTGCACTTTCGCTATCTCAGACTGTCAGGCGTACTTGTCAGCAGCTAGGAGCAAAAACTCATTTGTATCGTTAGACACATTTGCATATAAAGGCACATAAATGTATGCTTATTTACAGACATTCCTACTTTACTTTCTTATCTGAGAGGAAGAAATGGAGGGAAATGGGGCAGAAAATGACCCCCGATATCTTTTATTCTCCCTCTAGCACAGCATTTAGTTCGTTCTTCTTCCCTCCCATCGTTTCTCTTGTAAGTGCTTAGCTATTCTTCCCTGTGCTTAACCGTATTTAATTAAAAGTGGATGAGTGGCAAGGCAGGGGTTATCCACACACTAGAAGAGGATGTCAGGGTTTGGGGGGGAAGTAAGTCCAGGAAGTCCATAGGAATAGCTCCTGAAAGTCAGCACATGCTGTCAGGACTGGAAGTCGCAGCGGTGGTTACTCTTGGTGCTGCTAGAAAATAGAGATGCTCTGATTGACTGGTTTGGTTTTTGTATTTTGTTTTCCTGGGAACAGGAAAATGAGGAAAGGCAGCCTAGCAAAGGGCATTTCTCTGGGGACCAGAGATGATTCTGCAAATCTATGGCCTCTGGGGAAAAAAAAAGGAAGAGCTGGCAGCTCTGTTGTGTGCTCTCCTGCTGTCAGGAGCTACTTTTCCAAAAGCTGCCTGCTCAAAATCCTGACTGTTGTGACTTTGTTACATACCTTTATGTGCTGATCCTCAGGCTACACATATATATAATGTATATAGCAGCATTCTGATGCAGCCTTTGTGTGCTTTTGTATGGCTTTGAACTTCATGCCCCCCACACACCAAAAGCAAGATCTTTGGAATATTACCACCTTTCTGGAATAAAACGTTTATTAGCATTCTTAGGAATGTGTCCTAGCTGTCTTAATTTCTTTCCTTGGCCACAGCCTGTGATTTTCAAGCCAAACTTCAAGCTTTGTACAAGGGAATGAGATCTCTTATTCTTCTCCTTTGTAGTCTGATTGTGCTTTTGGATCAACTGACATCCTTTGTCCTCAGGACACTCTTGCAGGTGGACCCAACTGAGAGACTTCAGTGAAGGATGGATGCATTTTAGGCCTTTATTTTCTTTTTGTTCCATTTTTTCCCCCCAGTCTAAAATGAGTCAGATTCTGACTCTCAGTCAGCTGCCAGTGATAAAACAAATTGTGGGTAAAGCTGCTATTTTCCATCATGGAGTGGAAAGTAGTTGGAGCTGCTGGACCTCACATTGCCTTTCTCTTGGTGTCATTGAAGATGTCCTGAGAACCTTCTCTAACCTCACCTCTCTGTCCATAGTTTAGTTTCATAAAAAATGAAACATTGAAGAATCCAAGTACCAGTGAATCCCACATAAGCATTCCTGTACCTTGGATTAAAATCCTCAAATGATTTTGTATATGGACTGATTTAAGTATATATATTGGAGAGTTAATGCATGGTTGGAAGTGTCTCCAAGGATGACTTCTCAGATTCGACTGCTGGTAAAATGCAAAGTTCATTTTCACAACAATAACTCTAAAACGTTTGCCAACATCTTGTCACCCAAGTAACAAGTATGGATGAAGGATGCCCACCAAATGAACGGCATAGAAGTGACGAACTGTAAGTTGTCACCTGCCCAATTCTGAAAAAAATGTAATGTAAAAAGGCAGCTTCCTTTACAGAACCTGTCACCAAACGATGAAGATAAATCAGCACTGCTCTCTACCTCCTACTGACCTTTCTGAGAAAGGAAGCTGGATGCTGTTCTTGCTTGTTTAGAAAAAGGTTCTAAAATTTATGAAAGACTAAAAGTTTGCACAGGGGTCACTCAGGGCTGAATTTAATCTAAATAACTTTAATTCCTGACATTTAGTATATGAGACGGGGGAGGACATTAGGATCTGGCTGCACTTGAAGGGCTGCAATAACTTTCAGTAACTGGTTAGCTGGAAAGAGGGTTTGATAGGGCTGGGTGGTGAAGCTGTCATGTACAAATAGGTTTATTAACGGATCTCATATGGGTGTTTTCACTGTAGCATTTAAGTGTTAGTGACATATTGAATGTAAAAGTGTGCAAATTCTTGCATTGCTGACAGCTGATTTTGAAAATGGGCACCTTGGCATTGCTTTGCATTTGTTTACTTTCCCAGGGAAAATTCAGTTTGCTTCTGTACCCGAGTTGATTTTACAGTCTTAGATGCAAAATCAAAAAGATTAGATGCAAATCAAAAGCTGTGCAGAAGAACAAAGTTCATCACTCTTAAATCAGGTTGATTAATCAGACTATTTTGAGATGCAGCTAAGGAGCGTTTTAGGGATGCTGCTGTAGTCATCACAACCATGAAGAAATCAAATGAAATATCCCCAACATCAGCAACAAAAAGGAGGTTTGAGTGTTTGAAAGCAGTTGCCTAGACAGAGGCCTGCAAGTGGAATCTATGGTTTACACATTACGATTTTATTATGTTCTCATTCCTAACTGATGGCCCAGTGCTGAGGTGTTTGTGTGTCTTCCAAAGATAAAATGAAAGAGCATATCACATATGTTTTCTTCTCCACTTCCTTCTACAGGAAGCAAGATGGATGATGCTGAAACCAGCGTGCTTTGCCCTGGGTGCATGAAGGCAGTTGGCTACCCAGTCTGCTGGGAACACTGGCTAAACACAGGTCCTCCCAGGCTGGAGGTATGAGTTCAAGCAAATTTAATCTGGTGTTGATGAATTCACTGTGCATTAGTCTTATCCTGATCCTCCACACAGGACTGAATTACGGAATCTAGAGTAATTATGTTGGTTTGTAGATGAAAAGAGTTCTGTTCTTTTTGCAAATAATAATCATTGGGATTTGGGAACTTGGAACTCTTTTCAGCTTGTATTCACTTCTATGATGTGTAACTGCTCTTGAGTGAGCAAGATAGATAATACTTAAGAAGTGTTACCAGAAGAGACAGAATGTCTTGAGGCAAACTTGAGACTAATGTCATTCTATTATACCTACTTTGATTTATTTTTGGACTTATTTTTTATTTATTTGAGCTTACTAGGTAATGTTATTTTAATGTTGATTGTCAGGAAAAAGGCTCCATAATGTCTTGCTTCAAATCAGTTCTGCCACTTAATTTCAGAGCTTCTTGTCTTGTATGCATTTATCCTGAGTTTGTCTCTTATTTTTTAAATGATAAATTATTTATTTGCTTTACAGTCTTTAGAAATATACCATAGCTGTTAGAGTTGAATACATCAGAAATATTGCTAAGGTGCAAATTGCCAGTCTTATAGGGAACACACTGAGGTTTTCTGGAGGACCTCAAAAACAAAGCAGTGTAGCTGTTATACATGCAAACTCTCACCTTAAACATTTGCCACTAAAAGGATCAATGGGTAATGTATTGAACCTGTATTTTTATAAAGTAATCCAAGTAATTATTAATAAAGTGAATTATGTATTAGATGTTCATTTAAAGTTAAAATGAAATGATGCTGTATGTCAAAGGTTATATTATGAGGTGGTCTAAGAAACAATATAGAACAGAAAAATCTCATTAATCTCTTACTGCTATCTGGATGGTTCATATAGGTATGGATGAAGGTGAATTTACGTATTTTATTTAGATTTTCACAAGTCCTTGGTAAAATTATTACAGCAAGCTATTAAAGATATTAAAGATGGGGTTTTACAAGGGCATCTTAGGCCCGTAAATACATATATATGTAAGTAACTTTATTTAAGTTACAGGTATTAATAGCATCTCTAATCTTGAAGGTTTGCTTGATGCAGTAGGAATTTAACATTTTCCACTGGTAAAATTGCTCCGTTCCCTTGTTTTTGCTGCCGAGCATGTGCAAAACCATCTTGACAGCTCCAGGCTGCTAAGCCCCAAAGAAATACATAAAATAAGCATTTTCTTGCAAGTTTCCTCACAACTGCCTGTCAACTTCAGTTTTGCATCCCAGCAACCAATTTCAATTCATTTTATTTTATACTGACTACATTTATCACAATTTATTTTATGTTCTTGATAGGATATTTAAAGAGGCTCTCAGGGCCGCAGATTGCTACTGAAATGTTAGACAACATTTGGCATGAACAGGATCAGGAATTAAAAACTGCCATTTTTTTTAGCCCTGGTTGCCTTTGAAATGAGGTTTGTGAGATTGTGTTGTTTATCTCTCTGTACATTCAGCAATTCCCCTTAAAACTTTGGGACCCATTTTCAACCAAATTTGAAAGATGAGCTGAAATCTGAAGATAAATAAGGTCTGTGAAAAACTGCAGCTGTACAGAGGACAAAGTGGGTAATTAAATGCCTGTGCTGTGGAAAAGGCAGGTGGAAGCCAGCCTTTATATAGCGGTTGAGAGCTGCCAGCCTGCCAAAGTATGCTCAAACATTTTTGATTGAGCATAGCATGTGCCCTATATGGAGAGTGGGTTTCGGGAGAGAGCCCAAGGTTGTTACAGCAGAGGAGATTTTAGGAGATAACCACAAATCCACGAAAACAGTCAGTCAAACCCCACCTTGTTTGTTTTATTTCTTGCAGAGCAACTCGAATCTGTTGCCCTGCCTCTTCCTCCTCCTTCCCACCCCAAACACCTTTTTCCTCCCAGAATCTTCAGTCTGTTGCTATCTTTGTATTCCCTTGCTCTTCTGGCTCAGAATCAATTCCTGTAACTTAACCGGCCTAAGAACTCTGTCTGATTTAGTAATGAGGTCGCAGATATACCCTGCTGGGAGCCAGTTAATGTCTGTTTCTTCATCCAAAAAGTTCAACCAGGCTGTTAGGATGTGCTGATGTCAGTAGCTGTAACAAAACTAATCAGCACTGACCCCTTTCCACCCTGACTGGAGAATCTCCTGCTTTGATATTTATACTCATCAGATGTTTGTGGATTCTTATTGTGCCCCCTGACAGCTACCTGACATTTTAAAGACCCAGCTGTTGTGTGGTAGGACAAATGAATCCTGTTTAAAAGAAGCTAACTAGAATCAAACAATTATTTTTGTAATCTATATGCACATTTCAAATAGTATATCCAACCCAACATTGCAGTCTTTTTAGAATATTCTGTAAGATTTTAGAATATTCTATGGAGGCTTACAACTCCATAGGATCTCCAAGGATCTGTATTAACTCTAAAAAGCAGTGTGAAAGTTGTATATTTTACAAATCAGCTTAGCTGGAGAAGCAAGAAAACATGCCTTGTCTCCTTTTTGTCTTTTGCTGTCAGGTTCTTCCTCAAGATGGATAACCTTATCTAGCATGGAAAGTTTTTGTAGTTCTTCTCTGGTCAGTTATCCAAACAGGACAAAATTGAGCTGATGTCAAAACAAAGAATACACTGGGCTGTGATAAAAGCTGCTCTTCTGCACAACTTCCTAGCTTGCAAAACCTGCCTGGTTTTGCATAATAAATAAGCCCCAGGAAGTATAAAGTTAGTGGGAGTGCTTGTAGTGTGGCCAAGGTACAGTTTTACAGTCGTTTAAAGGTCAGCAGCAAATTGACATATACACCCAGTCCTGCAGGATAAGGCTCTGTGGGGACAAACCTCTCAGGTGAATGTCTGCATGATTTGCCTCTGGCCATATGGAAAATGTGAGGCCTAAGAAGGGGCTGAGATCCCACCGGGTCACTTGCAAGCCAGGGCCAGAGTTACCAAATCAACCTTTCTCAGCATTTATTAGGGCAGGCTTTGAAACTTACGTGCTGAGGAAAGCTTTTTGATGCAAAAACTCCAGACCCATGGCCTCACAGGGCAGGTATTCTTTTTTGTCCCTCAGCTTCTGGATTCTCTTCTTCTTCTTGCTTAACTTGAAAATCCAAGTTTATGGATGTTATTGTCTCTCAAGTAGTTAATGTCTCACTTCTCAGACATTCTTTTTTCAAACTTGGCAGGCTTCTGGCCAGGCTCATTAGAAGTGTAACTAGCCTGTACCAAATGATCTCTATGTTACCGTAAGCAGCATGCGAGCTGCAGTAATAGCAGCAGACTAACTGCAGAATGCTGCAAGTTGCTCTGAGCTTCACCAACAGATTTGTTGATCAGCTCCAGATTTTACAATGTCATTTTCCTTCTTATTCTTTAGCGAGAAAAACTGTCACCAGAGCTGGTTACAGCTCACGCCTGCAAATGCAAAAAAGTTGTATGGAGACAACAGTGCACAGGGAGACTTGCTAGGCCATGGATTAAGATGCCAAGTTTCGGGGAAGATGGTTTGCACAAGGAAAGCTCAGAACTCAAAAGCAGAGATTGGGTGCTCTTCTAAGGACAACAGGTGGAGGGATGAGATTTGGGGAAAAAACCTAAACCCCCAAAACCTACTGTAGGAAAGGTTCCACCTCTGTGAAAAGAAGAAGGAAGGAGGGTAATAAAAGTATGAAGTGTATCTAGTTTCAGGACTTTGCTGAAGAAAAAGAAGTGCTCCTAAAAATCACTACTACAGGTGAAATCATAGGGTTAGGGTTAAAGGATGGAAAGATCTGTACTGCAACCTGCAACTGTTGGAAAGCACGTGGGGTGAGAGGGTGTTAATAAGCAGATTATAAGACAAGGTGGAGATTTGGAAGTGTCCAGCTAGAGCTATGGTTGCTGTTCAGGCAGGAAGTTCTTGAAATGTCCTGAACTCCATGGAGCATGCTTAAATCCATGAGTCAGCGTGGTATGTGCTACAACTACTCAGCCCTGATCAGGAAACTCTGAACTATTTTTCTCCATCTCCTACAGACAGCTGGTGATGAGGCAAACACGGTTAGAAGTTCTCTCTGATGAAACTTTTAAGCTCTTGGTGTACAGGCGCTTGGTATGCAATACCTGTCCCTCAAACAGCTGGGTGCAAATGTGGGGAAGGCTTTTCCTGCAGGTTTTCAGGTACCAAGCTCAGCTGATGTTCCTGTACCGCAGCTGTAAATGAAGCCTCTTCTGGCACTCCCAGGGAGTTTGCTGGGCATGTCCTGCCCCTGGCACCACTCCGACATTCACAGCACCGATCTCCAACATTATCACCTCTCCAAGTGCTTAAGGCATGGCAGCTCACAGGATGTTCAGAGGCCTCTTTGATGCATTCATTTAGCTACATGTGCCACTTAAAGTTGTATGCCACCAACCAGGAATCCTCCCTCCCTGCCATGGTCTTCTCCCCATAGACAGGCCTTGCTGGTGGTTTGCTCCTCCTTTTCCCAGCGAGATCCTTGCTCTGACAGATTCTCCCTTGGAACAGTGGCTTCTGCTAGGCTCCTCTCAGGCTGTGGTCATGGCTGCCGGCGTGTGAAGTGTTCTGCCCACCTGAGTCAGGAACGCTCGGCAGCTCCGCTCACAGTGTAACAAAGAGCAAGTCACCATCAGCTGAACTGTACCAGGCATCACGGAAAGAGCCAGATGGATGTCACAATACCCCGACAAAATGCTGCGGACTCTCAAAGTATTTTTCAGCTCCAGCAGCCTGCAAACCACCACAAATTCCTGACCCCGTCCCGCGTGGAATTTGAAAGCGCGTTTTCTGCAGAGAAAAAATGAATTGCAAAAATGAAAATGTTTCTCTGCCTAAGCCCGAACCTGTTATGTCTTGGGAGTGGGAAAGAATCCCCAAACTAGCTCACAGAAGTACACAGTATATTATTTTGATTACAGCTGTTCTAACGGAATATTTTTGCAGATCTGAAAATGTTCAAAGGGATTTAAAAAGAAAGGAGGCACTTTTTTTCTTTTTTTTTTCTTTCTTTCTTTTTTTTTTCCCCCCTCCTAGGGCTGAAAATGTAAATTCTAGCTCCATGTTTGCTGGAGAGCCTTTTTCCTGCTGCTTCTAGACCAAGTTTCCCAAGTAAGATACTGTTTTCCTTGGGGTTTTTTTTGGAGGGAGGGTCTCAATCTGACCAAAACACTTTCAGAGAAGGCTGGATGTGAGCCCACAGAACCCCTGGCACTGCAAACCCTCACTGCAAACCCCCCACTGCAAACCAGTGGGGGCTTGTTCTGTAACCTCATGGGGGGCATCTTTGCTGGACCAAGTGCATGTAGTCCTTTTATGTCACTCCTGTGGTGTCCTCTTGGGAACATATGTCCATTACTGTCACATTAGTGACCCCGCGCAGTTGGTGGCCTGCAGTGCCAAAGGGAATGTCTTTTATCAGGTTGGGGGGCGTTAACATGTGGTTTTCTCAAGGAGATGAAAAGGGCAGGTTGTGCACGTTTGTTTCTTCCCTACTTATTTTCATGGTGAAGAAAGGCGAGGTCTGATTGTTATCAGTGGTGGTTTTGGTCTTTCACCATACTGCTGCAAGGAAGGTGCTAGGGAACCCTGATACTCCTTGGAAAGGTAGTCTGAGTTTATTTATTTTACACAGTAATAATCACCAGATAAGACACAGAAGTAGTCCTTAGGGCATGGGGCAGAATCAAATCTCCTTGCCCTTGGGTGCTTGCTCTGGCCAGCCGGCCAGCAGGCTGTGATTGCTCTCAGGATCAATGTTATATCATTAATTTTTGGGGCAAATGTGACAAATTTTTATCAGGAGCTAAAGGTCCCTTTGTGGAGCCTGATAGCAAGTGTGTGCCCTGAAGAAGTGGGTTTCTTCTCTTAGATGGAAAAGTGAATTGAATCTGGGGCCCTTGTGCTCTAGGTGAGTGCTCTTCCTACTGAAGTGCTGGGTTAAGGTAATGGGGAAGTGAAGGTAGGCAACTTTGTTCACTGTTTGAAAGGAACACAGTATACCTGCTTGCTCCATCTTCAGAAGAAGCAACTGTCTCTTAACTCCTGGCAAATAGAGATCCTTCCTTCCCTGCAACCTGGATGCAGGCAGAATAAAGATGCACTGTTGGAGGGGATCTGAAAGCCAGGCCTGTGCATGCTGCAGCCACAGAGTTCTCAGGTGATGACTCTCATGAATTGCGCAGCAAGTAAAAGGTATCCCTCTATGTAGGCAGAGCCTGTCCCCTGGGAAGCACCAGAATCTCGCTAGAACTCGGTATGAGGTGGGTGGGAAGGGAGGTTTCCATGTTTTATGCTGAGATGCGTATTTACAAGCCTCCGTGTTTGCAGTCTTTCTTGAGGTGCTCCTCACAAGCAGGAGTCAATCCCAGTCAGGAGGCAGCTGTGCATGGAATGGGGCTTTGGGTTGTTTTCGTTATTTCCATAATGCTTGCAAAGATGTCAGCCTGTGCTGGGACCCAGTTAGGCTATAAACACTGCAACCCCTTGGAGGAACAGAAAGATAGATGACTTGCCTGCAGTCAAACATAACACAGTGGCAAAAATAGTACCTGGTCCCTGGGCTGAAAAACCAGTGTGGAATTAGCCCAGTTTGTCTTGTTCTTCCCGCAGCTCACAGACAGATGTGAATACATTGGGCTGAATTGGAATCTGTTAGATCTAATTGGGCCTTAATTATAATGAATTAAACAATTAAAATAATGAAGATCGGGCACAATCAAATTTCAAAGCAAAGAGATTTATCGAGATTAGACTGTTAAAACTGCACAGATGATGCCATTAATCTTGGAGGAGGTCCAACGTAAACGATACAATATCTAGCCAGCTGGGAAGATGGCAAACTGGAGGTAATACCAGGTTCTCAGCATAAAGTGTAAAGCAGCTAAAGGATTTCCCCCCTTCCATTTTACAGCTTTGTGTTTAGATAAGAGCAAAATACTGAGCATATAAAACATGCATGCACACGTAACATAGGTGCGTTGTCTGTGAGTCATCTGAATTTGTGGACTCCAAGGAGGCAGGATGTTCACAGCTTGCAACACCTGATAAACTAGAGATGTCACTGTACGCCCCATTTGTGTTTGTAAGAGTTACTCTGATATTTATAGTAACTTTAGCACTGAGGAAGCTGGCTTTGACTGACAGCTCTGGGAGAGGAAATTGTTCTTTGCCCTTAGAACAGGTACAGCACTTCAGTAGATGAGAGAGGGCTTTGAGCCCCACGCTCATTCCTTCCCTGGCCTCTTCAGGATCTCATCATCAGTGTTGTCAGCAGTAATGCATTTATGGCACTTTGTCATTTGATGTCCGCATGAAGCCAGGCTGCCCTGGGAAACCCAGAGCTGGAGCCTGGGCACAGAGCCGTGGGCAGGGAGTGCTGTACAACACCCCAAAACTGTTGGAGGCAGAGCATGAGGAAGAACAGTATGTGACAGCCACTAATGGAAAAGCAGGTAAATGTGACCAGAAACCTGCCCTGCACTTCACAGGTAACATGATTTTACCAGAAAAGGAAAATCTGTCTAAAAAGCCAAAGAACAAAGACATTTGAGGCCTCCTCTGGGAAATAAGGATGAGCAATCTAAACTGCTGGTTTTCTTTGTATAATGAACACTGTAGTCCTGGAGGGATCATTTTATTTGGTTCTTTGCTCTCTCTGATTCCTCTCAACAATGTACCCAAGCTGCAGTACAGAAAATAGAGATAGACAGAGAAAGATAATACTGTACTGAGAGATTTTAATTAATAAGTCCTTGTGAGACTGGGTAACTATGGAAAGAATGGAGGAAGTTGAGCAAAAAGAAGTCCTCCTAATGTCTGAGTATATTAAATATTTCATTGAAAGAAAGCGGAAGAGGCACCAAAAGGAGTTTATAATTCTTGGAAAACAAACAAAAGAGTATTAGGCAATGCATTCTCTTTTCTCTTTCAATTTTGCTTTAGACAAACTTAGTACTGTGCCACTTTTAAAGAGGGGAATTTGGGCCAAGGATTTAGCAATAGACATCTGAAAACCTCAGAAGCAGGGGAAGCAGAAAAAAAGAAGAGACCCAGTCTCTGTTCCAACAATCCCTACCTTTTACAGTTCTTCAGGAGAGATGTGTGAATCCTCACGGGTGGATGCCACACACACTGAGAGGCAAGTGCTGGACACCCATTGCAACAGGCAACAGACAGACAACAGCAGTGCTGCTTCATTTCAGGCTGTCGCAGGAACGGAAGATTTTTGGCATACTGATCTTGACCTCTCCCCTCTCTCCTGTCAGCTGTTACTTCCCAGTGCCCTTGGGCTGGCTGGATTTGCTCTTGCTGATGGCCTTTATATAGTTCCCTTTCCTGATTCTTGTGTTGAAGATTGGCTTTTAGGGCTTTGGGTAACTGCAGATTAAAATCACATTTCTCTGCTTTTATTAGAAGCTTTGCTGAGGTCCAGAAGTTGCTGGAAGCCTGCTACTCACCACTGTTTACTGGCTGTGAATTATGTAGATGCTCGCATTTTTAATTTTCTTTCATTTAGTTGCATGTGCTGGACCTCTGTCATGACCAGCAGGGAACTCTCCCCTGGGTACAGAGGGGCAATTCAGCGTCTGTGCCAGCCCATGCGTGTAAAAGCCTGGCAGCCCTTGACAAACAAAGCCTAGAAATGTTGCTATTAAAAGCATTTATTG